CTAAGACAAGTGACCCTTCAGAGAGCGAAGGAACAACTCGGTTCCACTTAGAGATAGAATGGTAACGCTGTAAGCATTCTTTAGACCATCTGGCCCAAAACGAATCTAACATCTGGCGGGTTAACTGCCACCGAGATAGGCGTGAAGATTTGACTGATTCTAGAGAGGGTTCTGGAATAATAGTGGGTGCACATCCTATTAGGAAGTGACCCGGAGTCAAAGCTTGAATATCATCTGGATCATCTGTAAGTGGACACAGCGGCCTCGAGTTTAGAATGGCTTCGATTTGTGTGAAAATGGTGGTCATTTCTTCGTATGTAAGAGAAGTATCTCCCACGACTCGTCTGAGATGATATTTTACAGATTTTACTCCAGCCTCCCATTTTCCTCCAAAATGAAGGGCAGCCGGTGGGTTAAATTTCCAGTGAGTTCCATCGTTAGCTAAAAGTGTGGCTATCTCTCTTGATTCTGTTGATGATGCTGAAAACAATCTTTGAAGTTCTTGATCTGCGCCTTTCAGATTGGTCCCACAATCGCTTATTAAAGTAGCACATATACCGCGTCTCGCAGTGAATCGCTTATACGCCGCTATGAATGCGTCAGTTGTATAATCTGTAACCAGTTCAAGGTGTACAGCCGAGGTCGAAAAACAGACGAACAGAACGAGATAGCCCTTGTATGTTCGGGCATTTTTTCCTCTCCAGGTTTTCAGACTAAACGGACCGGCATAATCAACACCGGAATGTAGAAACGGGCGAGACGGTGTTACTCTCTCTAATGGTAACTGACCCATTAACTGTTGAGCCCTCTTTTGTCTAAATCGAGCGCACAGGACGCATCGAAGAATAAAAGCTCTGACAGGACTTCTTCCTCCGATGATCCAATAATCATTACGAAGGAACGCTACTGTAGTCTGCGTTCCTCCGTGCAGGGTACGTGAATGGGCGTCTGAAATTATAAGCGTGGTTAATGCGGATTCTTTTGGCAGTATTAGTGGGTGTTTAGCGTTAGGAGGTAATAAGGCAGATTGGAGGCGACCTCCGATTCTCAAAAGCCCTGTGGAGTCTAAAAATGGTGTCAGTCGTAGTAATGGGTCTGGTCTCCCCCCGATGGAGTACGCGGCGGAGGAACATAGTAACATGTTCCTCGAAAGCCGCGACTCCGAGGAGAGACCCATAAGAC